ACTTTCAGTTTCAAAATGGCGCTTGTTCGAAACAGCACCAGGACACGATTATGCAAATGAAGTATGGGATATATAAATCCCCGCTTCACTTGCACTTTCAATGTGTCTAATTTATATCCCTCTGCCAACAGAGGGGTGTAGTTTAGACCACCCTAGACATAGCCACAATGACTACGTCTAGACTACATCCTTCTGTCGGCAGAGGGATGTAAATGAAGCACTTCGAAAGTACAAATGAAGGTGGGGATTTAAATATCCCGTGCTTCATTTGCATAATCATGTTATGGCGCTCTTTCGAAAAAGTGCTATTTCAAAATCGGAAACGCAGTCTAGATGCTGTTCTTTCGAAAATAGAAGCCTTTTTCGAAAGAATCGCGTCTAGACTGTGGTTTCAATTTTGAAATAGCACTTTTTCGAAAGAGCGCCATAACATGATTATGCAAATGAAGCACGGTATATTTAAATCCCCGCTTTATTTGCACTTTTGAAGTGCCTAATTTACATTCCTCTGCTGACAGTGGGATGCAGTCTAGACACACCCATAAGGTTTATCAGTTATTTCAAGAGAAGGGTTTTCTTAACAGCATCTGTTATTTCGAAATAGCACCATAATGCAATCATGCAAATGAAGCACAGAATATTTAACGCCCAGCTTCATTTGCAATTTCAAATGTCTTCATTTGCATGCCTCTCTCGAAAGAGGGTGCAAGTGTAGACATACTCAAACAGACTAACTCGGCTCCCCCCAGAAGCTTCTTTAAGAGCTGTAATTTTTTAATCCTTGCTGGGGCTCCCAGTGGGGCTCAGGTCTGGAACTGGTCAGGAAATGTTTGAGAAAATTGTTTGTTGTTGTTGGATAATCCAAATCTTTCCCTGTGAAAGGGTAAGGAAAATGTTAATCAGGAAAGGTGTTTGGGGGTCTTGTGAGATAGCAAGAATTACCACTTCCCATTCCTTCCTAATCTAGAATAGCCAATAGTTTAGTGGCTAGGGTATTTACCTGGGATTTGGAAGACCTAGGTTTCAAATCCCAGTTCTGTTGTAGGAGTGTGAAACTACGTGTGTGATTGAAAAAAAAAAAAAGAAGCTGTATTTAAAACATATGGCATTTAGCTAGTATGACAACTCCTAACTGGCTCCATCTAACTGGTGTCTGCAGGTTTGGTTTTTTTCATTGGTAGGGACTTTTCATCATAAATAATGCTGCCTAAAGCGTGTCTTTGATTTCATAATTAAAAAGGAAAGAAGGATGTATTTGATTTGTATTGCTGATGAATGCAAAATAAGTGTGTGTGTGTGTGTGTGTGTGTGTGTGTGTGTTTTCTTTTGCTGTCTTTCCCGACATGGTCTGTGGTGAGTCTGTCAGTAAATATTGATTAGTGCAGTGCCTCAGGAAGCATATATGTCACAACCAGTTCATTGAGGGTCATTTCTTTTCAGTTCTCCATAATCAGGGCTCTGCGTCTACTCCCCGTTGCATGAAAAAGTGTCACATTTTGAGTACTCTACTTATTATCTGAAATTGGTTAAAGGCAATTTAGTGCAAACAACCATAGTACCTGGTGTGTAGAAGAGATGCAAATAGGGAAACTGTATATAATTGTGTTTTTCTACTGTGTGGGAGAGTCTGCCATAGGGAATTTTTTTTAACACAGATGATTTTTTGTTTGTTTGTATCTCAGGATCTATCATTCCGGATCACTGGTTTATTTTGTCTGGGTGCTTGAATGGGCAGATGTAGCAGGGCAGAACAGGAGACATTTTGTGCCACTGATCTTGTTTGTTCTGTATATCACTCACTCCCTTTGCGTGCAGCCTCTGTGTCTTTTTCTCCAGGATCTTTGTTGAGGTTTTCATTGTAGATTTACACTGCTGTTACTTCATGAATTCTTGTTAGGCCATCACTGTATCTAGAGGTAAAGCTCATCAGAATTACCCTTGGAGCTGTACGTCTGTCTAGCAGGTAGAAGGATGAAGAGTGGAGGTTTAGTCCTCCTGGCAGATGCAGAAACTGTGGTTGTTTGGAATCGGAGAAAGTGCAGTGTGCGTTGAATGGTTTTAAACACAGATTTCCTATTGATGGGATTGCCTTTTCTCCCTATTAGGTTCTCCAGCGTCAGATAAAAATGACCTCCTTAGGGAGATGAGGAGCAAGTGGCACAATTAGGTATTGCTTGGTATTAGATGCATTTGTTTCTTCTTGCTGCAGAAAATCCAGAGTAGAGTATGTAACCTTGGTAGACCCCCATGGTTGTCTGTGAACAGAATAGAACCTGGTACCTCTGGAGCTTAGTACATGAGCCTCTAACACATTAGCTAAAACCCAATTGGCTGTTAAACAAACTCTTGATTCTCTCTGTAAGTGGCCTCTTCGCCCCCAGTGTCAATTTGTTTGCCTTTAACTTGGGGTAGGCAACCAGTGAGAGGAGGAGGACCATGAAAGCTGGGATACTTTTGATTACTCCTCAAGATTGGAGTAGTTGTAGGGCAAGGCATGGGATGGGACAGAACACCATGCCCAGAAGGTGTGTGGGTTACACATACACGTTGCGAGCAGTTCTCTTTCTGACAGTGGTATGCGGTTGCCAGGTGTCCGGAATTCTACCGGCTTATGAAATCTTAGTTGCTTCTGTGTTCAGACAATTCATACTCAAGACCAGGAGCAATTCTTTAAATAAGCCCCCAGTCAGAGGAAGGACTCAGAGAACAATTTGTCATTTCCTCAGATACCGTATTTTCCGGCGTATAGGGCGACTGGGTGTATAAGACGACCCCCTATCTTTTTAATTAAAAGATAGGGTTTAATCTTATACCCCAGCGCCCCTCCGCCTCCTTTGCTCCTGGTGTCCCTGTGCTGGGACTCCCAGCTGGGAGGTGGGGCCGCGATCGCTGCTCTGGGCGCTTCAGAAGCCTAGCTTAGCCGAAGCGGGGGGAGTGGCTGAGAGTCACAGGCTCCCAGCGCCGATCGTGGCTCTGCCCCTCAGCCTTATTGGGGAGGCTTATTATTCCTTTTTTTTTTCTTGACCAAAAAAATATTGCGTGTCGGTATTTTTTGGGAGACCATCTGGCAACCCTGTATGTGGCGAGAAGACAAGTTAGTTCCTACTGGGGAAACAGAAATAAGTGAAACTCTGTGAGAAGCGCATTAGGTGGTAGAGGATGGGGCTGAGCATTGGGTTGCTTGTTTTAAATTTCTCTTTTTGGCAGCAGATTGTGTGAAGGCTGGCTTTGTTTGGATAACCATGCTTAGCCTGCCTAAGGCTGTTATACGTACAATGGACCTTACTGCAGCTGCAGGCTGTAATATCTCCTGATTAGCTGCTCTGTGCCAGTAGGGAAAAGCTCTCTCATTGGCTTAATGCAAACCACCCCCAATTAGTGGTAACTAGGTAGTGCTTTCCATGCTGACACTTTTGTCAAGGAAACTTGTTGGTTGGGAGTGGTTTTTATCACACCTGACTGGCAAAGGTGGACAAAGCCTTATATGACCTTCCTTAGACATCCAATTGTGGAAGATGGGACCAGAGATACCTCTGAGGGGAGGGATTAAATTGGATTAAGCTTTTGTTGGAGCTGAGTTGGGAAAGTTTCTGTTTTGTGAACTGGCTTCTTTAGTCTGAAGAAAGCTCGTTGGTTTGTTCCCCTCACTTTTGGATTGTATTTTAAAACTCTTTGTCAAAAATGTAAATTGGCTCCGGAGTTCCTTGGTATTTGCCTACACGGGAATGAAAATAAATAGGAAACATATTGAAATGTGAAGTGATGGCCGGTCCTGTACACCATGTGATGGTGTTTCTGATGAGCACACTAGCACTTGTACGCATGATTCTAAAAGTCTGTGTGTATGAAGACTTGAACGTGTCACTGGAAAATCGGCCACTGTTATTTTGCCAGTGAAAACGACTCATATGAACGTTTTACAAAAATGTACCCGATTATGGTCTAAGTTCCCCCTAAGGTGCATGGCTGAGTGCCTGCACAGCTGCCTGACAACGAGCCTCATGCTGGAGTTCAGGGCGGGTGCCCTGGCTGGAGGGGAGGAGGTGTCTCCCTCCCGCCCCTCCTCTACTCGACAGCGGTTGCTCTGTGCTGGGGCCAGGGGAGAGGGTGCCTCTTCCACAGCCATGGCACTCAACTCAGAGCTGCCCCGGCTAGGAGAACAGGTGCCCTTCTCCTGGCTCTGCCCACTGGAGCTACAGTGGCTGTGGAGAGTCACCTCTCACCTGGCCCTGCTGTGGTGAGAGAAGGATGGGGTGGTCCTCTCTCCCTTAGGCAACCTGCACCATGGGGCCTTTATACACCGCCACCCCCCCCATCCAGAGAGGCCTTGCACCGCAACTCTCTGTCCCAGCCCTGAGTCCATTATCCCCAATCCCATTCCAGCGCCTGCAGCACCGGACAGCCCTCGCATACATGCCCCCAAGCCCTCTGACCTACCCCAGACTCCGCATCCCCAGCCCCTGCCCTCACATTTCTGCACCCAGCCCTCTGCCCCAGGCTAAAACCCCTTCCCACACTCAGAACCCGCGACTTTTGTTACATGCACTGGTATGAAAGTAATGTGTGGCACATCACTTGGATAGGAAAAATTAGGGGGAACGCTGATTGTGACTAAGACAAATTCATTTGAGTGAATATTCATGTATCTTCTGGCATCTCCCTTGCATTTATCCAGTCCTGGGTTATTTTAGGATCACTATTTGCTCTTTAGAGGACTCCCCCGGCCCACTGGCAAGCATTTGGTTTGGATAAGTTATCTAACAGTTCAGATCAATCCATGCTCTTTTTTTTCTTTTTTAATTAGCAGTTGTCTTGGCCTACACATTCTGGACCTTGACATGACAAGCAGATCAGTACAACCACAGATGGCTATTTTGGGGCTGGAGAAGGGGGAGGGACTACGGCTTTGCTAAGGAGTTGCTGTGATCTGCTGCACCTTGAAAGGATGAGAGAGCTGGTATTTATTTACCTTCCCCTTTTTTGTTTTTTCTCCCTCTTAGGAAATACTGTGCACCACAGACGGAGGCATCAATCCCAGCTCACCCCTCTTTTTTCTTGACTGAATTAGAAGCCCCAGGAATGTGCTAATTGGCGGCGGCCTCTTCAGAGAGGTAAAAGGTAATTGTTATCTGCCTGCTTTAGGTGTCTTGCCTGTTAAACCTCTTGCAGAGCAGGTGGGGAAGGAGGGTAAACGTAGAATATGCTTGCCGCTGTGGAATTTTTATTTTCTGAGATCATCTTCAAGTTGATGGGGATGGTTTCCTGTCCTCTTTATGCAGAGCGACTTCTGTGTATGTTCGTTCGTGCATACAGTCCTGTCCTGTGACGATTTCTACATTTAGGGCAGAGAGTTTTGAGCAGCTGTGGGAAACAGTTTGCTTAAAATGTGAGTACAAAACAATTTTTAAAAAACGGTGGAATGACGATGAGTTCTCTGCATTCGCTTTGCTCCTTGCCACCCTCCTCCTCTGCCTCCCATAGCCCTCTGGGGCCATTTAGTTCCGTCAGAATGATGGAATAACAATACCAGGGGAGAGAGACTTCCTACCGGTACCAGCATGAGCCTTAGCTTTTCATTTGAATCGCACCTTTCCTTGAGATTTGGAAGAGATTGGATTAATAATCGTAACCCCTAAATCTTACATAGCTGTTTTCCTCAGTATATGTCAAAGTATTTTACGGAGGGATCCAATATCATTTTCCTCCCTTTTCATAGGAGGAAATTGAGGCATGGGTGGACATGACTTGTTCCAGGTCACCCAGCAGACTGGTGGCAGAGCCAGCAATTGAACCCAGGTGTCCTGAGTCTAAATCCAGTGTCCTATCAACCACAGGTTGAACCTCTTTTGTCCAGGAAGCTCTGGCTTGGCAACATCCGTGTTCTAGCAGGAGCACAGATACTGTTGGATCAGAAAGTCGAGTGGCCATGGCTGAGTGCAGCAGCCCTGGGACAGTGGAGCCACAGCTGCTAGAAGGGCTGGCAGTGGAGGTCGGGAGGCAGGGGAGTGTGGCAGCCAAAGGGTGAGTCTGCCTGGTCTGTTGACGAACCCAGGAGAGCACAAAGTCTCTCAAGAGTGGCAGACTTTAATGGACCCAGGAGTGGCACAATTGACCTCCCTTGGTCTGGCAAACTCCCTTGTTCAAGATGGGTCAGTTCCTGAGAGTGCTGGACGAGGGAGGTCCAACCTGTAGGCTATACTTCCTTCTGATTGAGCTTGTTTTTCACGTATCTGTGCTTCTAGTTCCAGACACAAGTGCCAGCATACGGGATGTGAGAGCCTCTAGGCAATAAATTCCATGGCCGTAGAGGGTAGTGTGACCTTGTGTAATCCTCACCCATATTATCATTTCTTGGAATATGGTTTACATGAAAGATGGTTTCAATGCCATGTCCCCAGTGCCCTGCAAGTTAATGGTTTCAAAACAGTTTCTAGCCTCACAAGTATTTTAGATGAACCTATTTTAGGACATGTTTTTAAATGTTGTTACCTCCTGCCGAGACTCTCAGGAGATGCTGAGGAAATTAAGTACCCAACTTCCATTGAGAGCCAAGTTGATTTGAGTACCTCATTCCTGTAGGCTCTTTTGGAAAAGCCTGTTGTTAATTATTTAGCTTCCAGTACCTAATGGTAACTGATTCCTAAATGAAGCATTAGCCCCGCGATTCAGGGGCATCCACGGACAACAGTGCCATAGACAGTTTGGTGCAAAATGTAGAAACTCAGTGTAAGTGCAAATACACGAGGGTATAACTTGCTGGCCAAATGACAAACTGCAGGTAGGCAACTATGCCTGAAGCAGCTCTGTGCCAGGC